CACTCCCAGCTCCGGAGGCTTTGGAAAAGAACTCTATTAACAACTGATGGGTTAGAGGCCATTCCTCAGATGTTTTGGGTGGAAAAAACTGGCTGACTTCTGCCTTTATCCTAAGAACTTGCCAGAGGCTAAATGAAAGTGATAGGCTATATTGTCTTGGCATTTCGAGACATCATAATATTGAATCTGTGTCATGGTTATTAATAATAATGCTTGTGTAGGTCTACAGTGAGATGATGAGTAAAGTAGAAAAAGTGCAAAATGTATAATTTAGAGGGTAAAGGCATTAGTAAGCTTAATTTTATAGCCAAGGTATGCACTGTGTGTGTGGGGGGGGGGGGAAGGCTGTAATTGTTAAGGAGATTGGGGCCATTAAGGAGATGCCTGATCTGCACTGGGACAAAGGGAAAGCTGTCCTCAGGGAAAGACTCCACCCAGTTAAGCTTCCAGCTTGTGAAAGAAAAAGCTCAGAGAATTTTCTGTTCCTAGAAGGCAAATGCAAGCAATGTGATTCAAGGCAGCCATTCAGTCTATCCATACAGGCATGTAACTCGGCAATGCTGTCCGCAGGGTACTGGCTTTAGAGGCATGAAGGGAGCAAGAGTGAAGTGGAGGTTCAGAGAGATGCTGAGGTTGCCAGCTTGCCCTTCCTCGCACAGACAAGCTCAGCCATCCTGCTTGAGGCGTTTCTTCACTGGTGTTGGAACCTACTTCTTCAAGACTCTAAATCAGACTGAAGAGCAGCTGAGACATCCAGCCTTGTGGCTAGAGCAACTTTTGGATTCTTGTACTTTGAACTGAGAGAAAGCCATGATTGGACTAGCCGGATCATAGCCTACAAGCCATCATTTAAAAAAAATACTCTTTTAATATATATAAATTAATTCTAGTGTTTCCGGTCCTCTATAAAACTCTAATACACTGTACTCACCACGTTTACAGCCCTAAAAGCCTCACGTCTCAGTTTAAAACTTCAAAGAAGTGGCTTTCTCTTTCCATTTTTAAGTCCAAAATTATAATAGTGTTCGTAAACATATGACTCTGACCCCAACGTGCAAATGCAGTCCACAGAATGCTGACTTTTTTGGACTCACTAATATTATATATGCAAACGCGCATGTGTGTGCATGTGTGTGTGTGTGTGTGTGTGTGTGTGTTCAATGTTGATGGCTTTTCCTCTGGTGCACTCCACCTTACTTTGATTTATTTATTTTTTCAAGCCTGGAGTCAGCAGTTGGCTAGAGTAACTATTGATCACATTCTGTGGATGGATCCTGTTTCTGCCCCTATCGCTGCTGAGGTTACAAACTTCTACACTTGACTTCTGGGGTTTCCTGGAGTCTGAACTCAGGTCTCAGGCACGCATGGCAAGCACCGTACTGACTGAACCATTTCCCGTTCTGGTACCTTACTTCCCTTGCTCTAGCTTGAGCCTTACTGCTAGCCCGTGGGTTCTCACAGAGACTGTTCTGGAGGAGGGAACACTCATTAAAATTTAAAACAAAACAGCAGCAGGCTTTCATTTATTACTTCCTGGCCTCATTTCTACCCAGGCTGACACATGCACCCAGCTCCCAGGCAGAATTTTGCAAGGAAAAGAAGGCAGTCTATAAAGAAGAAAATTCGTCTTCCTGGCACTGAAGGGGACATAGTAACTCTGGTTTCTGAAAAGTCAAAGTACTGGGCGGTAATTCATCACAGAGGGAAAGGCAGACCCTGACGTGGCTTTGAGGCTGTTTGTAGCCAGAGGAGGACAAGGGAAAAAAATAAGGACGATGGAGGGAGTGAAGGAGACAGAGTAATTTCAGTTTGTCTATCATCTATCCATCTGTCATCTGTCTGTCTATCTATCTATCTATCTATCTATCTATCTATCTATCTATCTATCTACCCAGCCATGTCTTATTTATTCTGTAGACTTGGAGAAGAAATCCAGAACCTCTTTTATGTCAGATAAGTGCTTTACCAATGAGTCACATCCTCAAGTTCCAACTGAAACTTTCTGAAACATTAAGTATTTATTTTTTAAATTTTAGTATAACTACATTATTTCTCCCTTCCCTTTCTCTTCCCCAAACCCTTCCACATAGCTCTCCTGACTCCCTTCAAGTTCTTGGCTTCCGTTTTTGACTAGATTTTATTTTTTGCATATATATATATACATTCCTAAATATAACTTGCTCAGTCTGTATCATATTATCTGTATGTATGTATGATGTTTTCAGGGCTGACTGTTTGGCACTGGACAACTAATTGGTGTGCTTTTCCCTGGAGAAGGCCACCTCTCCTGCTCCCACCTTTCCTTGGTTGCCTACAGTTCCTTATGTAGGGGAGCAGCCATGTGGGCTTTTCCCCATTCAACTCCAAAGAAGGGAAAAAATTTAAAGAAGATACAAAAGGTAAAAAGGACCCAAAGGATATATTCAATTGTATTAAGGATGGCTTTTATGTAGAAAGGAAAAGTAGCTGTATTGTTCTTCCCTCTCTAATTGCCATAGACTGGGGACACAAGCAATGTATTTGTTTCTCTGCAAAATCCACAGGTTCAGAGTCAAGGTGTCCGCGGGCTCCAGGGAAACACCATTCTTTTTCTCACTAAGCTTCTTGCAGTCCCCGTGTTCCGTGGTGCTGTTAGGCCATGGCCACATCACTCCCCAGTTTGTGCTTCCTCCAGCAAGGTTGCATCTTCTAAAGGTTCCACCACTGTCCCAAAGGACACCACCAACAGGGAACCATGTGTTCAAATATAGGAGCCTGTGGGGGACATTTCGAATTCAAACCATCACACATACAATAAATTAAAATTAAATAAATAAAATAAGTGGGAAAATGAGCTAATCAATATGTGTTTCTATAATTTTTTCCATAAACAATCACAGGAAGATTAAATCAGAAACCGCAGTGTTACAATTGACCGTGGTAAAGGTATGGTCGTCAGCCTGGAGTTACTGGAAGTGGGCAGAAGTGTTAAGAGGAGGAAGTTAAGTGTTAATGGGAGGAAGTTACATGGTCAGACCTTTGAGAAGATTTAGGGACCCAGCCCCTTTCCTGCTATCACTTTCTCTTCTTGGCTGCCACAAGTCACAGGACCACGCACGTGTGTGCTGGTCTGTACCGCCTCCAAGTGCTAGGCCAATGCAGGCCCAAAGCAATAGGGCCGAGCTGATATGGACTGAACTACTGAAGCTGTGAGCTGAACAGACCTCTTCCTCTGTGAGTTATCCCCAGCGTTTTGTCACAAAATGGAAAGCTGATAAGTACACAGTGAAACTGGCGTTAGGTAGGACCAGGGTATGAAGGACACCGGCTTGTCAATGACTGACACATTGTATACTTCTGATTCAGGATCCTGTAGGCCTTTTACATTGTA